TGTGTGTGTGTGTGTGTGTGTGTGTGTGTGTGTGTGTGTGTGTGTGTGTGTGTGTGTGTGTGTGTGTGTGTGTGTGTGTGTGTGTGTGTGTGTGTGTGTGTGTGTGTGTGTGTGTGTGTGTGTGTGTGTGTGTGTGTGTGTGTGTGTGTGTGTGTGTGTGTGTGTGTGTGTGTGTGTGTGTGTGTGTGTGTGTGTGTGTGTGTGTGTGTGTGTGTGTGTGTGTGTGTGTGTGTGTGTGTGTGTGTGTGTGTGTGTGTGTGTGTGTGTGTGTGTGTGTGTGTGTGTGTGTGTGTGTGTGTGTGTGTGTGTGTGTGTGTGTGTGTGTGTGTGTGTGTGTGTGTGTGTGTGTGTGTGTGTGTGTGTGTGTGTGTGTGTGTGTGTGTGTGTGTGTGTGTGTGTGTGTGTGTGTGTGTGTGTGTGTGTGTGTGTGTGTGTGTGTGTGTGTGTGTGTGTGTGTGTGTGTGTGTGTGTGTGTGTGTGTGTGTGTGTGTGTGTGTGTGTGTGTGTGTGTGTGTGTGTGTGTGTGTGTGTGTGTGTGTGTGTGTGTGTGTGTGTGTGTGTGTGTGTGTGTGTGTGTGTGTGTGTGTGTGTGTGTGTGTGTGTGTGTGTGTGTGTGTGTGTGTGTGTGTGTGTGTGTGTGTGTGTGTGTGTGTGTGTGTGTGTGTGTGTGTGTGTGTGTGTGTGTGTGTGTGTGTGTGTGTGTGTGTGTGTGTGTGTGTGTGTGTGTGTGTGTGTGTGTGTGTGTGTGTGTGTGTGTGTGTGTGTGTGTGTGTGTGTGTGTGTGTGTGTGTGTGTGTGTGTGTGTGTGTGTGTGTGTGTGTGTGTGTGTGTGTGTGTGTGTGTGTGTGTGTGTGTGTGTGTGTGTGTGTGTGTGTGTGTGTGTGTGTGTGTGTGTATACATCAGGGCATAGCTTAAGGATTTCATTTAGCTCGGACAAATGTCCTTCCGTTTTGAAATCTGTCCGGACATGCCCGGACATTTTCCACAACACATTTTCAGGGTGTTTCTTTTTTTTAGTAGCACTGAAGTATATTCACAATGACTCATTATGTGGACGTATCTCACACATTACTATGTACAATTCGCCAATTTATTTGTATTAGAAACTGAACTATTTACTGACGACAAATGTATGTACAAGAAAGCGTTGCAGTCAAGAATTTTGCGAACGCGATATGCTCCTTGCAGAGAAGGTAAGTCAGTTCGAATTTGCGTCGTGCAATAGCGGCAGCACCATCGTCCATCTCGCACAGTGCCTTCGCAATTTGACCGAATTCGAGGGCACTTCGAGCGGGACACTCTTGCCTGCGGAAAAGATTCATTCCTCGTTTATGCATCTCCGTTCCAGCATGATCCTTGAACGCTGATGTTCTCAGGTTATTGGATCCGGTTATGAAAGCCTCGCTGAAGTTTTTACAACTGCGGACTCAGTCTACAAACTTGATGCACACGGAACACTTCAAACATTCTGCTAACAGCCGATCGTTCTTCTGCCGGTCATAAATCAGCTAGGCGGAAGTAGTCAGCTCTGCATCATTATCCGAGATCCACTTATCGCAAGTAGCGGCCTTCACACCAAGGACTTTTTTGCCCGGCGGCAAGTCCTCTGAATCTCCCTTTCGCTTTCCAGAAGACATTCTAAAAGACTATCTGCATTCCTGGTCAGTGAAAGAGTGAAAAATAAAAGATGACATCTTCCTCTCAAGAGCGAACAACTGCACTGCAGTTCAACCCATAGGCATAGATTCAGGTGCGAAGTCGACACCATGCATGTACCAAAGGTCGAAAGTGTGAATTGACTGTAGCAACCGCGTTGCTACAGGCGGATTATGGTGAAGTCTACGCCTGAGGGATCGAGGCTACGGTGTAGACGTGTTAGTTGTACGATATGCAAGTCGCATTTGGCCTAAGCTCCGAAGAAAGCCCAACTCTGCATAAAAGGTCGAAAGGTCGCTGCTCTTTTTTTCCTTTTTTCACCGGACATAGGAAATTGAAAACGTCCGGTCAGTGGCCGAAAATGGCCGGAAAATGTCCGATGTCCGGCCGTTAATCTATGCCCTGTACATATGTGTGTGTGTGTGTGTGTGTGTGTGTGTGTGTGTGTGTGTGTGTGTGTGTGTGTGTGCGTGTGTGTGTGTGTGTGCAGGACGCGGATCCAGGGGGGGGGGGGTCAAACGAACCCCCCTGATTTTTTCCGACCATAGTTCCGGTGTGACCACTAACCTACATATGGCCATGTCCATGCAACGTGCGCGCCCCATGCTATGGCTCAGTCGACCCAGGCCAGAGCGGTCCGCTAGCTATGCAGCTTGGTAGATCTACGTCATGTCATGACGTTGTACATTGTTGTCTTGTACGTAGATACATGGTTGTACAAAGTAAAGTAGATCTGCGGCACTGAATGTACAGCTACGCTTGAGCTTCGGAGAAAGAGGTGCATGCATTTGTTGAGCTGCTGCGGAAACTTCGAAAGTAAGTTTGAAACACTAGTACTAGTTTCTGAATAATGGCCGTGCAGTGCTATAATTGTCGTCGCGGCTCGTGCTTTTTGAGCTGTCTTAGAGATCGTCGAAGCATCTAAATGAGGCAGGATCAAGACCAGCTGCCCTTGAATTTTGGTGACACTCCAAAGAAAAGTGTAGCCACTGGTGTCGAAGGTAAAACAAAGAGCGAAACTTTGAAAATCACCTTCAAATTCAACGTCCCATCATCCAACAATCAAAATGTTTCCGAACTGGGGACAATTATGACTGAGACATGAAAGATGCAGGAAGCCTGCCTTATGGAACCTACTGTACAGTGGAGTCAACATCGGGCGGCTCGGAGTACAATATTACGGACAATTATTACAGAGGAGCTGCTGGAGAAAGTACCAATCAGCTATTCTGCAGCAAAGAAATTGAAAACTTCTTCCCTGTGGTGATTGTCTTCAATAATGTTTTAGCTGCAGAGTGTTGAAAATAGGGGTACTGAAGTTACATTTGTATAGCCGCTGGCATGTTCAAGTACAGGATGCAATATACAGTACATGTGGGCTGTGTTATTACTAAGTAGTGCTGTACCGATAACCAGATAACGCCAACGTGTCAACTCCTTGTTATACATGTGTATGTCATCATTTCGTCATTGTGGGTAGAGTGGGAAAAAATTGAACCCCCCTTGGAAAAATCCTGGATCCGCCCCTGGTGTGTATGTGTGTGTGTGTGTGTGTGTGTGTGTGTGTGTGTGTGTGTGTGTGTGTGTGTCCAACCTGTCGGAAGGCTACCCTCTTGCCAAAGCATTTTTGGAAGTTGGACTAGTTTCGGCTCCACAATCCGGTGTGTCGTTACTATATAGCTTTCATGGCTGAGGTTGTTGGTACGTCTGTTGGCCCTGGGTTCCCAGTACCCAGTTGCCGAGGCTGGTTGGTAAAATAACTCCAATTTCACTTCAAGGTACCAGTGCATCTAGTGTCTGCTTTTATCAAAGCAGCGTGCTGTCTATACTGGTTACCCCAGCAAGTGTAGGGTGTGCATAGGTAACTGTCTTGGCCGTCCTATTCCGATGTACTCCGTGTGGTGTAGACCAGGTGTGCATTGGGGGGTCGATTCACATGGCTTCGCCAGTTGTGTGGATTAGACAGTTATCTGGCGCTTGTCTTGATCTGTTTCAATCAGAATCAGATCCGCTATCGTTGCTATAAAGAGAATATCTGTGGGTGCACATCCAGTGCATTTGCAGATCTGCGTGCTTCTCTTGCGACGGGCGTATACATGGTACATGGTACATGGTGTGTGTGTATATGTGTGTGTGTGTGTGTGTGTGTGTGTGTGTCCCATATGGTGCAGTGGTATGTGCAGCAATTTCCAATCGAGTGGTTGCGGGTTCGATTCCCGACGATTATGGTCACACACGTCTTTCTTCTCTTTCTCAGACTCTCCTGATTTTTCTTTCATTCTCCTGGGTGGTTACCAACAGCCAGTACATGCCGGAGTATATGGGGTGATGTGTGTGTGGAAAAAAGAAAAAGACCAAAAAGTAGGGATTCACTGGCCAGAAAAAGCCACTTCATAACTGTGTGGTGTAGACCAGGCTGAATAGTGGCGGTCAATTCTTCAACCTTGCGAGCTGTTGAATGGTGCAAGCCGAGCACAAGTTGCTATGGCTTCTGCTGTAGCATCGCTATCATTGCCTCCAGAGATGGGCGTCGAATGGTCAAATGGTGTGTGTGTGTGTGTGTGTGTATGTATGTGCGTGTGTGTGTGCGTGTGTGTATGCGTGTGTGTGTGTGTGTGTGTGTGTGTGTGTGTGTGTGTGTGTGTGTGTGTGTGTGTGTGTGTGTGTATATGTGTGTGTATGTATGTGTATGTATGTATGTATGGATGTATGGATGTATGTGGATGATGGCAAAGGGATGTCAACGCCGTGTGAAGCACACCTTGCCTCTTGGCTCTCAGCTGATCAAGCCTGTCCAGAGAATATTGAAGTATCACCTGCTCATGAGGGTGAGTCAATCATGACTGTCTTAGAAACTACAGCCCCGTTTCTTCGTGACTGACCTGTCACCCTGCACTGCACGTAATGAGATTTATGTTTTGTTTTGCTAGTTGCAAGCCCAGGCTGGGCACAGCAGTACAAAAGTACTCACATTCTTATGGGCGTGCCCTAGGCGGGCTTGCGACTAGCTGGTTTGTAGCTACATGTATGTGTTAGTGTCATGGCTGACCGAGGGTCCCGAATGTAGCTACATGTAGGTGATAGCGTTGTGTATGGCCGAGGGTCCCGAACACCGCCGTACGCAGGGTCACCTCTAGGGGGGTTCCAACCGAATCACAAACAATTTAAAAAGCCCTAGGAATTTTTCAAAATTCTGCATTTTTTCGTGTTCCTTGGATCATAACTTCAGTTCTACTCACTCAATCTTCATAATCTTGATCTTCCTCGAAGTGGAATTGAGAGGTATCCGGGAGAGGACGAGAATGAGGTCAACCATGATAGCCACGACACTGTATACATGGTACATGACCATGATCTACATGTATCCAGCGCTAGAGTGCAGCCACCGTGCGAAAAATGCCCCAAATAGCCCAAACACGTCCTGTTTCATCGATCGCAAAGTTTGGATTTTTTTTCGCTGTGTACTCTTCAGAGTATCACAAGTGAAACCCGTGGAAATTTGAGCAAGTCAAGGTGACAAAAAGTCTCAAATTCTCGATACTCAAGCCGCACTGCGCTCTTTTGAAATTGCCGAGATCGCAGCTCAACTGACGAATAATTTATCTGAAGAACCATTGCTCGCAGCGCTTCGCGAATTGTTTCTACCGACAACTGAGCGTTTTCTATTCAACCTGGATGTTTGGATTGTTGGATTTGAGCGTGATTTGACTGAGTTACAATCTGTTGAGGTTTTTTGCATTCTTGTCAGATCGATCACATGCCCTACCAAAAAAAGCCCAAACGTTCCTCGTTTGGAACATTTGGGGGGGGGGGGTTCCGGGCAACGGGACCCCCCCCCCCCCACCTGCGTACGTGCCTGCTGAGAGTTTGTCCTACACATTCATGAGTGCCATGGGTGGCACACAGTGATGTATTGAGTTCACGAGGAAACAGACTGTTTCTGTTTCTGTAATTTAGTGTTTGTATTCCTGCCGGTGATGTATTCCAGGCGATGTGTTCCTGGTGATGTGTTCCTGGTGATGTTTGGGCCTAAAAAGCAGTATAAATGCGGTGCTCATCAGACGCAACCTTCCTCAGCCTACTGAAGCTCAGCTCGTGAGAGGCCAATTCCCCACAACGCTGTGTATTTAGCAGGGAGTGTTGCTTTGTTGTAGGTTTGCCTAGTTGATGGTTTGATGGGCTTCTCGCAGTCTGGTGTGTCCGGCAGTCACGTCGGAGTCAGTCAAGTCCATTGGGAAAGTGTGAGCTTGAACGTTGCAAACAGCCAACTCCATCCTCTTTTTTTGGTTTTCTAACATTGTCAACTAATCCATGCCTTCGATATTGAGGTGCCATCCTTTTGCACGGTTCACCTGTCTTCTCCAGAGTAATACTTGGTCAGGATTACTGCTGAGTAATACTTGGACAGGATCACTGCTGAGTAATACTTGGTCAGGATCACTGCTGAGTACTACTTGGTCAGGATCACTGCTGAGTAATACTTGGACAGGATCACTGCTGAGTAATACTTGGACAGGATCACTGGTGGACAGGATCACTGCCGAGTAATACATGGACGGGATTACTGCTGAGTAATACATGGACGGGATTACTGCTGAGTAATACATGGACGGGATTACTGCTGAGTAATACATGGACGGGATTGCTTGCACTGCACACTGTACACTCATATCTCTCTTATCCGGGCGGGCAGTTTGGGACTTGGCACCGCCCATAACTTTGAAATGTCCATAACTGAATCATGTACCTTTTGATTGGCAAGTGCCAGAGGTCTGTCGACTGAAGTCACTAAAAAAGTGGAAAAGTTGCTAAAAACTCGAAATGAGTACTGTAAAAACTGTCCTAGCCAGACACCCTTAGCAACGGAAACTGTCCTAGCCAGACACCCTTAGCAACGGAAACTGTCCTAGCCAGACACCCTTAGCAACGGAAACTGTCCTAGCCAGACACCCTTAGCAGCGGAAACTGTCCTAGCCAGACACCCTTAGCAACGGAAACTGTCCTAGCCAGACACCCTTAGCAGCGGAAACTGTCCTAGCCAGACACCCTTAGCAACGGAAACTGTCCTAGCCAGACACCCTTAGCAACGGAAACTGTCCTAGCCAGACACCCTTAGCAACGGAAACTGTCCTAGCCAGACACCCTTAGCAACGGAAACTATCCTAGCCAGACACCCTTAGCAACGGAAACTGTCCTAGCCAGACACCCTTAGCAACGGAAACTGTCCTAGCCAGACACCCTTAGCAGCGGAAACTGTCCTAGCCAGACACCCTTAGCAGCGGAAACTGTCCTAGCCAGACACCCTTAGCAACGGAAACTGTCCTAGCCAGACACCCTTAGCAGCGGAAACTGTCCTAGCCAGACACCCTTAGCAACGGAAACTGTCCTAGCCAGACACCCTTAGCAGCGGAAACTGTCCTAGCCAGACACCCTTAGCAGCGGAAACTGTCCTAGCCAGACACCCTTAGCAGCGGAAACTGTCCTAGCCAGACACCCTTAGCAGCGGAAACTGTCCTAGCCAGACACCCTTAGCAACGGAAACTGTCCTAGCCAGACACCCTTAGCAGCGGAAACTGTCCTAGCCAGACACCCTTAGCAGCGGAAACTGTCCTAGCCAGACACCCTTAGCAGCGGAAACTGTCCTAAGACACCCTTAGGGGTCGTCGCAAAAGTTTTTTGTCGTCCCTGAAACGAACATGATTCATTTGGGGGGGGGGGGGGTGCGAGCCAAAATCGCAAGTCGACCGACACTGTACATATGACATGTACATGCATGCGATTTTCGTCGTCCAGGGTAGCAAGCTGTGTTCGTTTCAGAGGGAGGGGAGGGGGTCCAAGTACGAAATGAACGATGTTCGTTTCAGGGACGACAGAACACTTTTGCGACGACCCCTTAGCAGCGGAAACTGTCCTAGCCAGACACCCTTAGCAGCGGAAACTGTCCTAAGGCACCCTTAGCACCGGAAACTGTCCTAATGTGACAGGATTCCGCTTGATACAGCGATGCATGTTCGATCCACAGCACTTTGGCGTATGAACATTTGTCCGTTTCATACAGGATTCAGCTTGGTGCAGGGTCCGGAAAACACAGGTTTTACTGTAGTAATATTTCCACAATAGCTCGCTTAGTGGGTGCCCGGTAGACCGAGGTGCTCGTAACTTAAGATGCCGTTTGCCGGAGTGTGCATGTGTAGTGTGAATTGTGTATCCTTGTTGCTGATCATGTACTGCAGGAACTGGTGAAGAACTGCAAAGATTCCTTCAGCGATAGCGAGTTGGCAACGGTTCAGGTACATCGCATCATTTGTGTGTATGCGCAAGCAGATTTGCTCATGATGTCATGAATGATGTCATGATGTCATGAATGCATGACAATGCATATCACTGTCAGTTTTCTCACTTGCATATGGTGCTGCACGTTGCGCTTGTTACTTACTTGTTATATGGCTGATGGGCTGCTGGCCTTGTCACTGCACCTGCAGTCACGGGCAGTCATGGGCACAGCTTGCAAACACAGGGCAGTGCACCCCTCTGGCGCTGATGACAGCTAAACATGGCAGCACATCAAACTGTGCATGTACATCCATTCGTTCGGCCAGCATTTCTTGTTCCTTGCCTGATTGCCATTCTGACTTGCTGTTTTCTCACAAACTAGCTCTCGGCCAAACCATTCCTCATCCCGACTTACCCAATTTGACGCTGTACCAGATTCGAAAAAATCACAACTTCTACAAATAAATCACAACTTTCTACAAATAAATAAGGACTCACGAGATGCACGAGATTAGAGGAAGTGTTGTAACTGCCTTTCTCTACCTGCTCCCAGTCCCGTGCCATCTCCACACTTGTACAAAGGGACGACGATAACTACATTTAGGAAGACTGTTTATTGACACGACGACGGAAACACAACTAGACATGATGAACTCAAGACGAAGACATGATGAACTCAAGACGAAGACAGCTTTTCCCACCACAGCATCACGCGCATGCACCAACATGACGTACACAAAATAACGTACTACAGAAGGACCAACAAGTTACGAGACTAGTAAGACCATTGGAAAAACTGGTCAATGTTGTGTGTCTGTTGTTCGATGCATGTTCCATTTTGTCTGCTATTTTATGCTATGTTTTCCTTTGTTCAACTCTACAATGACCTGCAGGATGCATGTGAGGTTATGCAAGGAGTTGCAAGTCATATCAATGAAATGAAGAGACAGAATGAAAAAGCCCTATATATTCAGGTAGGAGAGAGCCCATTTAAAACCGCACTGACCCATCAACTCCCACACTCCCCCTCCCTGTCCCATTTAAAGCCGCGCTCACCTATCAACTGCCATCCTCTCCCTCCCCATCGCAGAAATATCACACCAGTCTGTTCTGTAAGTTCATCATCTGAAAGTCTGAAACAGCTGCAAGGCGGCGGTTGTAAGAGGTGTGAATGTTGTAAGAGGTGTGAATGAGTTACTAAGTATGTTTCTGCAGCTACTTGTTAGACTAGTTACCCTGCATGAAATGAGTGTTCAGCGGCTCACTTGATACATGTTAGCATTGTATGCCGGTGTAGCGCAGAATGGGACAGTCAGTGCTTAGCCGGATTCTACATTGTATGGGATTCTACATTGTATGGGATTCTACAAAGGTAGGCATAGTAGGAAGGGATTGAGAAACACAAGGTACCAAGTTCAAGTCTTGCTTGGGAGCGGAAGGATGTTTTCCTGCCGTGCTGCGACCCACAGTTAATTGGGAACTCGTGGCCTGGCATGAGGGAAGCACGGACGCAGCGAATGGGATTTTAGGCTTTTGACCACTTCGGTGGGTCTGATCTTCTCACCTCCCATCGCTTTAGGAGCTGCATCTTCACCTTTGATTCTTGAGGGTGGTGCGGCGTTCCTACGGATGGGCAAAACTCTGTCTAACTGTGTATAACACAAGCCGTGAACATTTTTATGTGAGTCTATGATTCTTTGTGCTTCTGCGTGCTTCCGGTATACGCCGCTAATGCGTTTTTGCTTGGGATACACGCTGATTCACAGAAAAGAATACCGCCTTGTGGCAACTTAACTCACACTTATGCACACGACCTATTATTCTAGCCGAAGTCGCTGCCTCTACCTTGCAGTTGACCCTCATCCTCAGAAGTAGACATCAAATGACTGAGGACAAGTATACTCAGTAGTCTTGCTAATGTTTACGCAGTAACCATGGTAACTTGTATTGCCGCATAGACCAGGTGTTCCTTCTTTTGCAACACAGGGTAGTACTAGCTATCATAGCTATCATAGCTATGTCAAACATACACCGAATGTGACAATTGATACACCATTCAGAAGGTCTTGAGATCAGCTTTCCAGGAATATCCATCAAGTTGAACTGAAATGAGAATATATTTTGCTCTGAGGTGTGCGTGCCCATAATCCACCAGGAGAGTCAGTGCGCTCTAAAACCAGTTGTACTAGAGAAAAGGGGCCAGCATGGAAAAGATTAAACTAGCAAAAGAAAAAAATCCATGCAGAAAGAGCAGCACGACTGTTGCATGTTCGTTTATCAAGTGCTGGACCGTGAGTGTGTGTGTGTGGGGGGGGGGATCCTTCTTTCATTTGATGTCATTTTGGCTGTGCGTACACATGTCCACACTGCATACACATCCACACACGCGTACACATGCATGCACACACACACACACACACGCACACACACACACACACACACACACACACACACACACACACACACACACACACACACACACCTTTGGACCTTTGGATGCCCATTGCTCCGTGCAATGATAGCATCAGGAGTTGCAGTATTTCCTGTGGCGAGTTAGATCAGTGGGCCGACGGAAGTCCCTGCCACAGCCGCAAATGAGCAGTCTAGGCTTTGGCACAGCCGGCCGGGGACGATTGCACACGAGGCGCCAGTCTCGTCTGTCCTGCGCCAAGTCGCACCAGTCACCTGTCACACGCACCGAGCACTCAGATCAGCAGCGGCGATGTCCCTCCAACGTTTCATGATCCAGCTGACCATCCCCACTGATGTTGCTTCCAAGGTAGGTGAATTCATCCTGGCAACTGATAACGTCATCACCACCGAGGACAGGGAGATCTGTACACACTCGACCTGGTCCAACCGACATTGTCTTGGTCTTGGTGATACTGACTGTCAGGCCCCAGTCAGACGCGCATGAGATGAACTCATTGGCTATAGTGCACAGATTCTCATGTGAGGTGGTGTATAGTGCGGCATCGTCGGCAAACTGTGACTCAGTGACATCAAGGTGCTCAAGGCGACTCTTGGTTGTGCGATCGCCGACGAGCTTGCGACCCAAACGATAGCGCAATAGAAAGCCAGGAACAGAGGAGATCGACTGCCAGTGGCAGTGGGCCGCCACAACAGCTGCGAAATATATGTTTAACATAATAGGAGCAAGTGTGCATCCTTGACGCACACCATTGCGGACCTCAAATTCCGAAGACCTGCCATTGCCGACACGAACATGGGCAAGCACACCATTATGCAAAGACTGGATCAATGACAACATCTTTGGAAGAACATCGCATTTCTCCAGGACCAACCACAAACCTGCACGGGGGATAGAGTCATAAGCATTTCGCAAGTCTACGAAAAGGAGTTACAAGTTTGACTCATGTTCGATGGCTTTCTCCACAAGCTGCCGAGCAACAAAAACCATATCTACGCAGCCGCACACACACACACACACGCACACGCACGCACGCACGCACGCACACACACACACACACACACACGCACACATGCATGCTTACTAATGTAGTAAATGTACATTCATGTTTCTGGTTGTATTCAGGAACTGCAATCAAGACTGGTGGACTGGGAGGTGAGGCATCCACATTGACATGTGCGCACTCAGATTTAGACATGCCCATCGCGGAAGTGATGATAGCGAACAGCTATGTTAGACATAGCAACTTGTTCTAGGATTACACCATTCAACAGCTTGCAAGGCTGATGAATTGACCGCCACTAATTTTAGCCTGGTATCCACCACACAGCTGATTGCAGTGGCATTTTCTGGTCAGTGAATCCCTTTTTTTCTTCATTTTTTCATTTTTTCCATTTTGCATTCTTTTTTGACACGTACACGCCACACCACATACTCCGGCATACACTGGCTGTTGGTAACCAACCAGGAGAATGAAAGAAGAGCTAGGAGAATGAGAAAGAGAGGAAAGACGTGTGCAACCATAATCGTCGGGAATTGAACCCGCAACTTCAATTAAATCATTCTCAGTACTGTGTGTGTGCACGCCCACGCGTGTGTGTACGTGTGTGTGTGTGTGTACGCGCACATGTGTACATGCGTGTGCATGCGCACGTGTGAATATGTGCATGTACACGTGTGTGTGTGGGGGGGGGGGGTGTATCTGTGCATGTGTGTGTGTGCGTGTGTGCTTGTATGTGTGTGCGTGTCTACTGTTCTTCATCATACTTGCACTTTTTGTACGTAGGGTGATGAGCTCGCAAGCTATGGAGATATTCTGAAAGAGGTAAGATATGATGATGAGTGTGTGTGATGCAATGATGCAGTGATGCAGTATATTTCACACTGCTAGTAGAGTCAACACGTGGCCTAGTGTGGGTGGCAGCATGTGTACGTATGTGAGTGATGTTTATGGCACTCACATGCTGGCCGCATATGATACCTGTTATGTTTGCCCTTTGCACCTCTTGTCTGGTGTTTGTTCTTTATCAGTTTGTTCTTCTTCTTCATGTCGTTCTTGGGTACACATGTCAATGTATTCGCCTGACGTCCCTTACTTCCCAGTATGCATTGTTGCATTAGATCCAGTTTAATACCATACTCGCACGATCAGTACACCTGTGGCACTATTTGTGTAAGACCATCACAGACGGGACACCATTCAAGAGAGGGTGTTATACAGGAGAGGTTACTCCTTCTTTTAATAATAATAATAATAACTTTATTAGGATGACCCAAAGGCTGACCGCCTATCGTGGGGTCCGTCGCATTGAAGGATGATGGTACAAGAGAGTACAGATTGGGAAGGGGGGGGGGGGGGACTACGATGAACAGGGTAACGGCATGCCAGCGAGTTTTAATGCTGGTACGTCTACATCACCCAGCATACCAAATAAAGAACTGGCAAGGACGAACAGAGTCTAACATTTACTCAATAGCTATCAGATCAGTACTCAATAGCTATCAGATCAGTACTCAATAGCTATCAGATCAGTACTCAATAGCTATCAGATCAGTACTCAATAGCTATCAGATCAGTACTCAATAGCTATCAGATCAGTACTCAATAGCTATCAGATCAGTACTCAATAGCTATCAGATCAGTACTCAATAGCTATCAGATCAGTACTCAATAGCTATCAGATCAGTACTCAATAGCTATCAGATCAGTACTCAATAGCTATCAGTACCCAATAGCTATCAGTACCCAATAGCTATCAGTACTCGCAACAAGAACTGAGATTTAGGTTCTGAATTCATCAGTGCAATTACATTGTACATGGACATTGTACATGGAGAAACGAATTAGCAAAACTGCACCAAACTTGCACATGCGTATGATTACAAGCCCAGGGAGGAGGAACTATTCAAGAGAGGGGTTCATTTTCATTGGCTCTAAAGGGACAGGGGCACTATTCGAGACAGGGGCACTATTCGAGACTGGGGCACTATTCGAGACTGGGGCACTATTCGAGACTGGGGCACTATTCGAGACTGGGGCACTATTCGAGACAGGGGCACTATTCGAGACAGGGGCACTATTCGAGACAGGGGCACTATTCGAGACCGGGACACTATTCGAGACAGGGGCACTATTCGAGACTGGGGCACTAGTCGAGACTGGGGCACTATTCGAGACAGGGGCACTATTCGAGACAGGGGCACTATTCGGAGACTGGGGCACTATTCGAGACAGGGGCACTATTTGAGACAGGGGCACTATTCGAGACTGGGGCACTATTCGAGACAGGGGCACTATTCGAGACAGGGGCACTATTCGAGACAGGGGCACTATTCGAGACTGGGGCACTATTCGAGACAGGGGCACTATTCGAGACAGGGGCACTATTCGAGACTGGGGCACTATTCGAGACTGGGGCACTATTTGAGACTGGGGCACTATTCGAGACAGGGCACTATTCGATATTGGGACACTATTCGAGACAGGGGCACTATTCGAGACTGGGGCACTATTCGAGACTGGGGCACTATTTGAGACTGGGGCACTATTCGAGACAGGGCACTATTCGAGATTGGGGCACTATTCGAGACAGGGGCACTATTCGAGACTGGGGCACTATTCGAGACAGGGGCACTATTCGAGACAGGGGCACTATTCGAGACTGGGGCACTATTCGAGATTGGGGCACTATTCGAGACAGGGGCACTATTTGAGACAGGGGCACTATTCGAGACAGGGGCACTATTCGAGACTGGGGCACTATTCGAGACAGGGGCACTATTCGAGACAGGGGCACTATTCGAGACTGGGGCACTTTTCGAGACTGGAGCACTATTCGAGACTGGGGCACTATTTGAGACTGGGGCACTATTCGAGACGGGCACTATTCGAGACAGGACTCTCATCGCGGAAGTACAGTCGCTGCTGCGGAAATCTGCATGCAGAATGCCACCCATGAGTGCAGATTCAGTGTTGTGAGCTACCTTTGGAGTGAACAACTTGTCAGCGTCTTCTAGGTTCAGCCTGGTTCCATAGCTCAGTGGTTAGAGCATTGCTCATGACAAGGAAGGTCCCGGCTTTGAGTCCTGGTGGGTTTTTTTTTCTCTTTTCAGGCAGTTCACTTCCCCGACTGATCCTTTGAATTTGAAGTTCTCCCAATCCTTTCAAAAATTATTATAATTATTATTAACTCGGATGGAGAGCCAAGGATTATTTATAAAACGTACAAAGGACCAAGGAACTACAAGTTACACTATAATGTCCACTAACACCACCAGTTACTAAATAATCAGCTCATGCGATAACATTGCACGACACTGACCAACGGTACTGACGTTCTACAACTAACTGGCTAACAGCTCTAGCACATCTTGGATGCGCACTTCAACAGCCTTCCAACTTGGAAGGTTCTAAGTTATAGAAATAACATAAGGAGGGGAAGGTGAGCGCAACCAAGATAAGTGTTGAATTCCAACAGGAGGACGTCATACTTATGCTTTCCTTCCCCTCTTGGACCTTTCCAAACCTGAACCTTCCAAGTTGGAAGGTTGTTGGTGTGCGCCTTGGATAAGTGTTGGAGCTAGGTGTCAGGTCGCCAAATGTCTCAGTACTCCCTGTCAGTTTTGTGCCATTTTGTCGCACTCGCTGACTGTATAAGATCTAGTTACGTTGGTGGGCAGTTAGTCATAACTCATAACATTTTGTCCTTCTCCTTTTTCACCATAATTTAAATTTTGAATAGACATTGAAACAGAGCAGATGTAGATATCTCCTAGAGAATGGGGCTCTACAAAACTAATGACATCGTCCGTATATCAACGATTTCAAGTATGCATGGTAGTTCAAGGGTGAATTGGATGTGATGAACTCTCAGGGGTCGTCGCAAAAGTCGTTCATTTGGTGGGGTGAGGTGGGGGTTTGAGGCGAAATCGCGAGTCGACCGACACGCACATGTACAAGTACATGCATGCGATTTCTGACGTTCAGCATAGCAGGTTGCATTCATAGCAGGCTGCATTCATTTTTGAGGAGGGGAATGGGGGGGGGGGGGAGGTCCGAATGAAAAATGTACTATGTTTGCTTCAAGGTCGACAAAAAAATTGCAACGACTCCTTGCACCTTTATGAGTGCGCTACATATTTTGACTGAGCTGCAAAGGGCAGTGGTACAGTCGTCCCTCTCTAATCCGGCACCTTTTGCTACGGCGTTTTCTGCTGGATTAACGAGGGCGCTGGATTAAGAAATCCTGCCCTCTGACCCGGCCCTACCCAATTGCATGCATGTATCATACGTCAAAACGCAGGGTTTTTCCGTGTCGACCCAAGTATTTGGTGCACGGCTTTATATTCTCAATTGTTCTCCGGGAATATACACAGTGATAACGTGATAAAGTAAAACAGAGAACATGTTCACATGTACTCTTGCACACACACGCACACGCACACACACCTGAAAATTGGCAGGACGCTACTCCTTGCTAAAATAAGAAAGTATGGTTGACTGCTTAGCCGTTGTCTCCTGGACAACATTGACCAGACTGGCCTAGCCTGGCCTGGCAAGGAGTGCACCTGTACGATCGTACTGCCGGATTATGAAATCAAACTACGTGCAGTTTGAGTGATTCGTTTCAAAAAGTCACTGCCGGAGGCGGAATTCAAGTGCCGGATTAAGATGTAGGAATTGAACGAAAAAAATCGGTTTCGTCAGAAAGTGCGCCGGTTGGCAAGGGTTCCGGATAAACAAGTGCCGGATTAGAGAGGGACGACTGTACTAGTATTGCTTTGGATCGGCAAATGTCACATAAATTTCTGGGGGCAACTGTGGACTCTGTTTTCTTGATTCTTCACCACACAGGGTGTGCTGCGACACCCGAAAAAGCTGTTTGGATTCACTGAGAGAAAGGTGTACCTATTTGAGACGCTCTTTCTTATAACCAAAGAAAGAGACGGCGATTTGCTCGTCAAGCCATCTTATCAGGTATGGTAGAAGAATTGTACAAGGTCTTCATAATGATCTAATTTGAAAGTATTGTTCCGAGTTCTATGCGAGTGCAATGGAAGTGCACAAAGTGACTATTTGAATGATGTACCAGTTGAATTCCAATACTTATGTGTGGCTTGCTTCAGACTAGACAGAGAGGGAGCCTCTTGGAGAGTGAATGCCTTTTAACTATAACTCTTAAGTACTGTGTGAGTGCGTCACCACTACCACTGCCCTTTCTTTGTCATGTTATTGTCTATGGAGGTGGGGTATGGAGGTGGGTATGGAGGTGGTCTATGGAGGTGGGGTATGGAGGTGGGGTATGGAGGTGGGGTATGGAGGTGGGGTATGGAGATGGGGTATGGAGGTGGGGTATGGAGGTGGGGTATGGAGGTGGGGTGTGGAGGTGGTCTATGGAGGTGGGGTATGGAGGTGGGGTATGGAGGTGGGGTATGGAGGTGGGGTATGGAGGTGGTCTATGGAGGTGGGGTATGGAGGTGGGGTATGGAGGTGGGATCCTGTCTGTAGTTCACTACACAAACCTTGTACATACCTTGTACACACATTGTCTGTTGTGCACTCAAACTATGCTCAGTTTACCTTTGAGCGGATGCGCGCTCCACAAATGAACATGCGTCATGTGATCTTAGTTCACTAAGGTTCTCACACCACACAAAGTAATGTTCTCACACCACACAAAGTAATGTTCTCACACCACACAAAGTAAGGTTCTCACACCACACAAAGTAAGGTTCTCACACCACACAAAGTAAGGTTCTCACACCACACAAAGTAAGGTTCTCACACCACACAAAGTAAGGTTCTCACACCACACAAAGTAAGGTTCTCACACCACACAAAGTAAGGTTCTCACACCACACAAAGTAAGGTTCTCACACCACACAAAGTAATATTCTCACACCACACAAAGTAAGGTTCTCACACCACACAAAGTAATGTTCTCACACCACACAAAGTAAGGTTCTCACACCACACAAAGTAAGGTTCTCACACCACACAAAGTTAGTTGCACTCTGCCTTACGATTTTCCTTTCCCTGGTTGTAAAATCAAGATGAGGTGCTCGTGCGAGACTGGGCGCTCTCACGAGACGGGGCGCTCTTGTGAGATGGAGGCGCTCGCGCTACTTTGAAGTATCTGTGGATGAATTCAATTCATTTTTTAATTTATTGTATGGAGAGCAATGGCAGGTGTTCTTCTGCCAATACCTGCTGTACTGTGTGGAGTATAAGCTCACTTAGGTTTGTCAGTATTTGTGTAACAGACTTAGACATGGTCATATTGGTCCGTGGCAGTTCTGAGGCCATCTGAAGGTCAATTCAAAAACTGAAACCTTTGATCATGGTACGCACACGTTTGCATGCAAGACCGTTCTTAGAGTTAGTCAGCATTAAAGGCACACTTAGTCACCTGTGGACTAGGCAGGCCTAAATATACAACCGTTTGGACTGCCTGCTGCAGCCCTGGTCAATCAAGAAGTTTACAGAAGTTATTTTAGCACCTGTGTATTCTGAAGCTTACACACAAGAAATATTTACCTATCTGCACTGGCGTTGATTGTATTAAACCCCAGGGCCCCAGATTCGCTTATTAAGGACTGCAGCTACATGTAGCTCTCGTTTTTTTAACCTTCGAAGTGCTGCATCACAGCCAACCTGCCGGTGCCATAGCAACGCTGACATGTGGACTACTTTTAAGTACTTGGAACCAGTTTTTATATGGATTCATACACGTTTAGGTGCTTTCCATTCACAGCAGGGTGAGACACATCTGCTGGCAGTAACAACTGGCCTGGGCCCTCCAGTCTGGGGACCCACTCCTGGTACGGAGAAGTTCACAGCTGCGTGCGACACGAGGGTACCACCGAACCACATACTATACTTCACTATGGGCAGAGTGAATACAATACGACCCAGAACTGCAGGAGTCGTTATTTGTCTCTTTATAAAAATACTTATGATGTCATCACTTTCAAGCCCTATAGTTGCAGATGTGACATCTAACAATGGGTCCAAGGAAATTCCCCTTGCAGCCAATGGTGGGATCCAGGGATATGTTCCCTTGCATTCTGAAGATGGGAACTAGGAATTAAGTCCGGATGGGGGGGGGGGGGCAGGCAGGGGATAAGTCACCTTGCAGCCTAACGATGACGACTGAGAGATTAGTTTTGGAGTGTAAAGATGGGACCCAGAGAATACTACTTGAAGGAGTCGCGTCCAGGGATGAGTTTTGGAATCTAAAGGTGGGACCCAGAGAATACTACTTGAGGAAGTTGCGTCCAGGGATGAGTTTTGGAATCTAAAGATGGGACCCAGAGAATACTACTTGAGGAAGTCGCGTCCAGGGATGAGTTTTGGAATCTAAAGATGGGACCCAGAGAATACTACTTGAAGGAGTCGCGTCCAGGGATGAGTTTTACAGCCACTAGCTCAAGTGCTTGCTTAGGTAACCATACAGCATCTTTCTCCATGATTGCAGTGGGTGTTTTCCTGTTTTCCTGTGCATGCCTTCCTGCCTGCCTTCCTGCCTGCCTACATGTGTGTGTGTGTGTGTGTGTGTGTGTGTGTGTGTGTGTGTGTGTGTGTGTGTGTGTGTGTGTGTGTGTGTGTGTGCATGTGTGTGTGTACGTGTGCTGTGTGTGCTTGTGTATGTATGTGTGTGTGTGTGTGTTTGTGTGTGTGTGTGTCAGTATTTGTGTGTATGTACATGTATGTGTGTACACGTGTGTGTGTCACATATGGTGCAATGGTATGTGCAGCGATTTCCAGTTGAGAGGTTGCGGGTTCGATTCCTGATGATTATGGTCACACACGTCTTTCCTCTCTTTCTTAGACTCCTCCTGACTTTTCTTTCATTCTCCTGGGTGGTTACCAACAGCCAGTGCATGCCGGAGTATATGGTGTGATGTGTGTGTGGAAAAAAGAAAAAAAGACCCAAAAGTAGGAATTCACTGGCCAGAAAAGGCCACTTCATAGCTGTGTGGGGTAGACCAGGCTGAATAATGGTGGTCAATTCTTCAGCCTTGCGAGCTGTTGAATGGTGCAATCCCAGCACAAATTGCCATAGTTCTGCTGTAGCATCGCTCTCATAGCCTCCGGCGATGGTCGTCAAATGGTCAAATGGTGTATGGTACATGGTATGTGTTTGTGTGTATGTGTGTTTGCGTGTATGCATGGTGTTAACGTATGTTGGGAATTTTCTAGGTTGGAGATCTAGGTGTGGTTGATCTTGACGAGAGTGGAGTTGCGTTTAGACTATCTCAACTTTCTCAAATCTCCAAAACTACCACACTCCATGTAAGTAGTAGTAGTACATTCGGTCTGTGTCAGCGAAACTGTCTTGCTCGCCCCCTCAGAAACTCCAGGCTTGCAACTCCAGGCTTGGTTGAGTTGGCACAGCGATAGCACAGCTACGTTTACTTTGGTTTGTAAAATGGACAGTCTAAACTTCATCTATTTCCAGTCGATTCCTGCGAGGAGAAGCCAATATGATGGCCAGAAAACGCATTTTCTGCCCTGAAAAGTCTTCATACCCTGCTTACGTGGCAGCTAAAGTTGCCGGTTTGAAAACACCATTATAGACCGTCAAGAGCTTGATGAAAAGGGAAGGCACTGATCTGGGGTGATACGAGTGCATTAAGGGTGATGCGTCGAGTGCATAAGGGATGACACAACGAGTGCATTGGGGGTGATGCATCGAGTGCATTTAGAGTGAGCCTGGCCACTATCAAGCAAGCTCTTGAGCATTGCGAAGGGAAAGCTAGCCCAGCCAAGAAGACACACTGTGTCTTTCACCAATACATGTACTCTCTCACTCTCTTTCTATTCAATATTTCTTGTGTACTTGCATACTGGTATTAGTTTAGTCCCACAACCTGCGATAAAATGATCAGCTGTAGCACCTACTCCACTTTTATGTTTATGTATCTATGTCATTCGGATCTTCCCAAGTTGTACAATGTACTGTTGAGATACCGAATTCAAATAAATCAATACCATACCAATACCATACCAATATTCACTCAGTGTCTGGAAGAAATTTAAGCTCAAGTTTGACTTACTGTATGCAGGGAGCGGCATCTGGGCAAAGCTACGAACACGCACTGTACACAGACAAACATTGGACTCACAAACAACAATATATTGCGTAGGCTAGCTTCAGTTTACTCTAGAAACTATCACAAGTGCCCCGACTTGTTATGAAGCTGCAAGCAAAAGATGACTCGTTTACCCGATCATTTCACCCATACCGTCACGGCTGTTACGGGGAGGTCACTTGGCAAGATGGCGGCGACCTGTAGCAACGCCCCTGGCAACAGAGGTCACACGGAAAGCGTGGGTACGCTCATCGCATTTTTCAAATTTTCATGATCATTTCTGCAGAAAGAAAAGGTTCTGTCACTTCGAATACTTGAAATAGTACTTTTATGGATTTCGTCTCTTCAGTCTCTTGCTCGTCAAAAAATGTTGTTGGAGGCAGCTGTGCTCCGCGAAGTGCAACGGATACCGCTCAGTAGCAGATAAAGGAGATGTGCTTCGCAGGACTCTTTCGCAAAATGACGACCTGCGCCTCGGATCGGGGGAGAACTTTTTATCAAGTTTACTCAATCTCCGGACAGCTATAGCTGTTTCGACCTTGTTAGGTCTCATCAGCGGAGTTCACAGTGTGTGGCCGAACAGATCAGCAAGAATTAGTTTCAACCCTGGTACAGTGTTAGGTCTCATCAGAGGAGCTCAGAGTGTGTGGCCGAACAGATCAGCAAGAATTAATTTCAACCCTGTACAAGGAAGGACATGGCACTCGAGAAGGTGAAGCTTAGGAGTCACATTGCCTAACTTGCGTGCCAGAACCTCCGCTCTGCAGGTGGCCATGAAGGTGTGGATGGCATCACCCAGAACCTGCCTTGTTGCTGTTGTAAAAACCAGCTTGCCGCTGAACAGCTTGCGACATGCTGCATACTCTGTGAAGAGTCTCGAGTAGCGATCTCTCAAGGACTTTGCCTGGGCAAGCTATAAGCAGCTGAACCTCGCCGCTGTCCGCAGGTGTGCGACTCTGCACGACTGTAAGGGGAACAGAAGTGAGGGCAGCAATGACATCCGGTTTCAACGCACGGTGTATGTGGTTGCCGACAAATGCTCCGGAGTGATATGCTTGCCGCTTTATTTGGTACTGTGGCAGTACTGCTTCCAAGGAAGTTACGCACGGGCCAGCTGCTTTTTTTTTAATCTTTTACTGTTAATTTCTCGTGCTCTTTTCGAGCCACATCACCTCTCATCCATCAAATTGAGTTCCTTTTCTTTCTCCTTCCATAGGAAGTGCAGATTTGATGCCACAGTCTGCAAGCCAGCAGCCACTACTTCCTGCTGCTGAATGTGCAGCGTCACACACTGCAGCTGCCTTAGAATGCTTTGTGCTTCTGACTGTACATGTAGGTGTAGTTGTTGTGTTGCTGTGTCGTGTACGTTCTTGTAGCGTCACAAACTGCAGCTGACTAAGAATGCTTTGTGCTTCTGACTGTAGGTGTAGTTGTTGTGTTGCTGTGTCGTGTACGTTCTTGTAGGCATTGATAAGTGCTGTAAACGCTGCAGAGTCACCGTCATCTGCAGCAAGAAACATACATTTGCTCAGTGCAATATCGATTTGATGTGCGTCAGCACAAAGTGCACCGTAAATCCAGGGATAAATCCCTAGATCTAGGTGGAGCACAGGAATACACACGTCTTGCAGCTCAACAGGAAGAATGGCTTTTCTAATCACGTTGTTGTACCGCCGTGCGTGCTGCAAGTTGGCACCTTCTGCAACGAACTCTGTATTTAAAGCGTTCTGGCAGCAAGTCAGCGATTGCTTTGTATGGCGGTGATGCAATGTCGTACAGTTTCATCAGGGGAATATCCATGCCAATTATTGCATCGTCTAAATGCAGACTGGATGAGGCTGGAGCTACATGCATATTCATATGCATGAGTTTTTTGGTCATCACACAACACATTAATACTCAGCACAGATTCAATGGCTTTCGCATGATCTCTCACAAGGTGCTGAGTTCCACGGCTAGTATACTACACAACTTTTCACCGCCTAATCTGCATACCAGCTGTATTTTCTTGGTGTTTTTCCATTTCAAATCCACTGAATAAATAACAATTTCCACTAAATGTTGCTAGAGATTTGGACCCAGCGGGGCCAACAAGGAATCAGCGGGGCCCCAGCAGTAACAAAAAACAGCTACACAGATACTCTTCTCCTCGGCAAAACTACCCTTGACGTGACGAAAACTCGTTGAGCACCTCAAGGAGGCAACAAACTTCGGTGACTAGAACGATCGAACGGCAACAACTTCAGAGACAAATTTCCATGAAGAATGGCTTTTCTCAGCGAAGGAAAGCTCAAATTCACTACTTTTTTCTTTGGCGAAGCATGGTCAGGATGTTGCGCAACTGTAGCCGCGAGGACAGCTCGACGCGGTGATCAGAAGTGGTGCTTTGGAGACCCAACTGAGCAGAGATTGCGTTCAAAATACACCTCCTTGAGTACAAATTTTGAACGTTGAGAACGGGAAAGTCCCGGGAAGCGCCATCTCCTGTACAAAAACCAAGTGGGCCCGTTTTGTACTGTCGTAACAGCCGTGACCGTGCACGCTGGATATGTCTTGTGTTGCTTGGTTACAGACCTAGAATGATGAATATGTCTTGTGTAGGTAGGTTACAGACCCAGCAATTGAATGATGGATGTGTCGTGTGTTGCTAGGTTACAGATCCAGAATGATGAATATGTTGTGTGTGTTGCTTGGTTACAGGCCCAGACTGATGAAGAGAAGAAACAGTGGATTGAGGTACTACGTCGGACAATAGTAGCCAGTGACAGCCGACTGTCAGAAGAGGTAATCTCACAAGCCAACGCCTAGGTGCCTATGTGCCTATGAGCATATGTGCCTCTGAGCCTATGTGCCTCTGAGCCTATGTGCCTCTGAGCCTATGTGCCTATGTGCCAATGAGCCTATGTGCTTATACGGAGACTCCCTCGATTTAGGCTAAGGCCTGTGGAGAATCCATAAATACAAATACAAATACATGTGCCTATGTGCATATGTGCTCATGTGCCGAGGTGCCTATATGCTCATGTGCTCATGTGCTCAGGTGCCTATGTGCCTATGTGCCTATGTCTCCAATGCACTGTAGTTACTGAATGGAAGGTTTTGCCTCTGCTTGATGTTTGTGGTTTGTTTTCAGTGTGTGAAGCGTTGGGCTCCGGGGTGGGGGATGAGGGGAAGGGATGGGATGTTTGTGTTGTCGAATTGGGATTGCATGACATTGTATAGTTGTATTGAAGGATTTGTTTCCAGAAACAAACTGAACAGTGCTTCATTTCATTGTTCAACCCTGAAAGTATGTAGTCCAACATCCAGTGTTCTTTTCTTCTCACCCTTGTGTGTCTGCCTTCCCCTTCATCAATGCATCGTTGTATGACTGTGCACACTATGTAGACAAAGAAGCAGCTTCTTGCAGCGATATGCAAAGAAACCAAAGGTACGGGGCTTGAGTGTTGTTGTTTCGCTGCATCCACACACTCTCTCTACAGGACATCCACACACTCTCTCTACAGGACATCCACACACTCTCTCTACAGGACATCCATGCACTCTCTCTACAGGACATCCACACACTCTCTCTACAGGACATCCACACACTCTCTCTACAGGACATCCACACACTCTCTCTACAGGGCATCCATGCACTCTCTCTACAGGACATCCACACACTCTCTCTTCAGGACATCCACACACTCTCTCTACAGGACATCCACACACTCTCTCTCTACAGGACATCCACACACTCTCTCTACAGGACATTCATGCACTTTCTACAGGTGATAGCTTACCTTCTTACAAACAGTTGTACTTACTAACAGTTGTACTTACTAACAGTTGTACTTACTAACAGTTGTACTTACAAACAGTTGTACTAAACCATTCACCTATACAATCACATGACATACATTTGAAACCTCATGAATTACAACATTTTTAATATTACCATCCATTGTTGGCTTTCAGTGCCTTCGGTGGTGGCGCATTTTACTTGGTTTGTTCCCTTTGTTGATGCGTCTCCAAAAAAACATCACGGTTCGCGTGAGACTCAGCTGGGGGCCAAGTTTTCCGCATCTGTAGGAATGCCACCAGCCTCTGCACCCTCTAGGATCAATGCCACCAGCCTCTAGGATCAAGGCGCAGATGCAGCTCCTAAACGGTGCTTTCGGTCTTAGCGTCTCCCAGCACTTTGTGAACTGTATTTTAGTAGCACATTGCATACAAGGTGCTGATGACCAGCAGTAGCGGAAAGCTTGTGTCCACCCCTTGAGTTGAATCCTGTATCCATCTCTAGCTGATGCCGCTGATGCTTCTGCTGGTGCAGGTGCTGCTGCTGATGTTGCTGCTGCTGCTGCCGGTGATTTTCCTGCTGCTGATGTTGCTGCTGCTGTTGCTGCTGGTACTGCTACTGCTGCTGCTGCTGCTGCTGCTGCCGTTGCTGTTGCTGCTGCTGCTGCTGTTGTTGTTGCTGCTGTTCCTGCTGCTGTTGCGGCTGCTGCTGCTGCTGCCACTGCTGTTGCTGCCGCTGTTGCTGCTGCTGCTGCTGCTGCTGTTGTTGTTGCTGCTGCTGCTGTTGCTGCTGCTGCTGCTGCTGGTGTTTCTGTTTCTTATGTTGCATCAGCTGCTTGCACTGCTGCTACTAAGAGTGTTACTTCTACGGCTGTTGCTGCTAACTTTCCTGCCTCTATTGCAAGTTTTACCTTGGTTGCCTCTATTACTTCTGTTCCTGCCGCTTCACTTCTGTTAGCATGGTTGCTCATGTTGCTCCTGCCATTAGCACTGTTGCAGCTGCTGCCGGTAGAACTGCTGCCACTGCTGCTGCTGCTGCTGCTGCTGCTGCTGCTTCTGCTGTTTGTGCCACTGCTTCTTACATTGATAGCGATACTACCCATACCACCCCTGCTCCTAGTAACTTTACTCCTGCCCCTAGCACTGTTGTCCCTAGCATCGCTGCTGCACAGAACTGTAGTTGCTGCTGCATCTCTCTCTCTCTCTCTCTCTCTCTCTCTCTCTCTCTCTCTCTCTCTCTCTCTCTCTCTCTCTCTCTCTCTCTCTCTCTCTCTCTCTCTCTCTCTCTCTCTCTCTCTCTCTCTCTCTCTCTCTCTCTCTCTCTCTCTCTCTCTCTCTCTCTCTCTCTCTCTCTCTCTCTCGTGCTCGTGCTCGCGCACGTGTGTGTGTGGGGGGGGGGGGTACAGTTAACCTTTGGAAGTAACTAGTCACATAGCCGCTAGTCACATAGCCAGTCTGGAAGTAAATTGCACGTTAGCATGAGTAGTAGAAGCTAAGTGATTGATCTTCTCTTCCCTTCACATCACTATCCTTTTTCAGAGACAAGAAGTAAGCCTACTTTGAAGCGATTCAGCTCTGAAAGAATGTCATCTCCTGATCTGAAAGGTGAGTTTACATGTTGCCATGAAAAATACTGTACACTTTTCGTATCAAGATATTGACTATTGATCTATTCGTTTTATTTTATTTAAACTCGTATTGTGAAGCAAAATAATGTTGGATAAAAGGAAGAACAACATGGCATGTTATGAGGTATGAGTAATTGTCCACCAATGTGTCCAGATCATACAGTGCCCTTTCTTTCACCTCATTGGACCCTTCCTAACCCGAGCCTTCCAAGTTGGAAGGTTGTTGCTTTGCGCTTCGTAGATGTGTTGGAGCAAGGTGTCAGGTCGTTGAATGTCTCAGTACTCTTTGTCGGTTTTGTGCCTTGTTGTCGCACTCACTGACTGTAAACGATCTGGTTACTTTGGTGGGCAGTTAGTCATAACTCGTAACATTTTGTCCTTCCTTTCTTATTTGTTTTTAGTTGGGAGTATCCAGTCCTTCCTTTCTCATTTGTTTTTAGTTGTTTGGAGTATCCAGGCATGCATGCTTGTATTATGAGGCTTCCAGTTGGAACAGACGCTAAATTGGTGGTCAATCTCTCACTCCTATGTATGTGTGTGTGCATGTGCGTGTGTGCATGTGCGTGTGTTCTGCTATTCTATCGGCTGTGTAGCTAGCAGTACGGTAGTGGGCGGCAGCGTATCACCAAGATGGAGAAGAGCAACAGTCAGCAGCGCACCGGATGACGACCTTGGGAAAGTCAAAGAAGTTTGTAGTGCTGTCGAAACTGAAGGCACTTCTTCTGCTCCTGCAATGCCGCTTGATGTCAAACTAAGTCCACTACCACCGCGTCCACCTCAGCCAACCTGGCTGAAACCACCTACCTCACCATCTGATTCCATTTCTTCTACTGCAACATCACCTGGTCTGCGCGATCGCTTTTCTCGTTTGTTTAGCCGGGAAGCCACTGTAGGTGAAGACTGCACTGATGGTGGGCTCCAACAGAAGCCATCCCACAACGCTGGGAAAGGTATGTGAAGTTCATCCCAAGTTCATCCTGTCGCAAAACAAATTATGGCTCATCACAATACGAGCTAGTATCAATGCCCATTATGCCTTCACAACGCTACGGCGGCAGTGTGAGCTATGGATATTAGTCGAGCATAACCTGTACAGCATGAACACTGGATAGCCGAAACACATGCATACAAGAGAAGAGGCTGGTCACTAGCTTGTAGTTGAGCATGCACATGTGCATGTGTGCATGGATGCGTGTGTGTATGTGTCACTGTGCATGTGTCACTGTGCATGTGTCACTGTGCATGTGTCACTGTGCATGTGTGCGTGTGTGCATGTGTGTATGTGTGCATGTGTCACTGTGCATGTGTGCGTGTGTGCATGTGTGTGCGTGTGTGTATGTGTGCATGCTCGAGTTGACTTGACAAAACAAAATAGATTGTTGGAGTAAACATTGGCACTGGTCCTGACACAACTAACTACATGTACCTACACTACCCTCTACATGTACCTTCACTACCTTCACTACCTTCACTACCTTGCATGCTTTTACTCCACTGTAGACTACACTGAATCACACTTCATTACAATGGTGCATGAAAATTGTCACTTCACACAACACTGCACAGCACTATCGAACTTACCCCACTGACAGCACCACGTATCACTGACCCCACTGACACCCCCCCCCCCCCCCCAACACACACGCCTTTTGACCATTGACCTTTTGATGCTCATCGCCGGAGGCAATGATAGCGATGCTACAGCAGAAGCCATAGCAGCTTTTGCTAGCATTGCACCATTCAACAGCTAAATTGCACTGCCCCCCCCCTCCCCCCCACACACACACTACACAGGTACTACACTAAACTGCAGTGCCCCCCCCCCCCCAGCACTACACTGGCTGCCTTGGATTATGCACTTGAATGGATTCATGAATCCATTCAAGTGCATTCAAGTCGTTCAATTTTCATGTCATGAGCCCTGGAATCGATTCGGAATCCATTCACCCTATTCACATGGGGTGATGTGAATAGCGCAAATCGATTCGCGTGCATAATCGAACGCACTCACTGAATTCACTCCACTGCACTAAATTGAACTGCACTGCATCCCCCGCACTACACTGACTTGCACTCCACCACACACACACAGGCACTACACTGAATTGCACTGCACTGCATTGCCCTGCCCCCCCCCCCCCCCCCCCCCCCGACACGCTCTACACTGCATTGCACTGCACTGTCCCCCCCCCCCCCCCCGACACGCTCTACACTGAATGGCACTGCCCCCCCCCCCCTCACACACTACACTGAGGTTTCGTTTGTTCGGTGTCATTCCACTGTGTTTTGGTTCAGGTGCGTTTGTTTGATGCACGCGACATCGTTTGTTCGGTGCAATTCCGATTCTGGTCGCGGAATGAATGGGGCAGAATCAATTCCGGCAATTCCTAAGAAAAAGTGGAATGAGTAGTCATTCCGTGCGGAACGAAAATGCACGGAGGCCGGGGGCTTCGTCGCTGTTGCATACCTCCACCAACAAAACTTCAAACGCGATTATTGACATATGTTAATGTTGGCGGAAATCGTCCAGGGTATCGGCTGGTTCTGTAACCTCGGCAAAGTTACTTGTTGGTAGTATTTTGACCCTTCGCTGCCTGAGAAAGCGTTCGCCCGGGACAAGAGCTGGAGATATGTGTAAAAGGTGTATTTATACTAAGAGTCCAGGCCGTGCGATACTCACTATTCGTATTTATACCTCGGCTCCTCATCGTAGAGCAGGGCCTCTAGAATCACAAGGAGGCGAGCCAGAATTATCAATTTGTTCGAGCCCGATGGTACATAGCACATAGTGACTACCCAAAGAGGCAATGAGCCTGCCACTTTACTTTTTCTTACAATAGTGCCTCGTCTCTGTCAATCAAGTACTTCCAATCCATGCAGAGCTAGATACGTTTCATTGACTGATACGAGGTCGAATAGCATGATGAAGTAGCGGCCAAACACCGCCTGCAGGTACCCAAGTTACAGGCGCTCGTAGACCTACGCCGTGTTTGGCAGCTCCTTCATCATGGCTGTCGTAGGCACATGCAGAAACTTACGGAAGCAAAATAGCGGGACTGGCAGTAGTCTGCGCAAGGCAACAAACATTAACATTCGACCACCGTTTCCAGAGTTGCGCGAAACTTTTTCCAGATTCCTGAATGCATGCCGGTGTGTTTGTTTGCTACGCACATTCCAATTCCGTGATGGGTACCGACTGCATTCCGTGCCCATTCCGGAATGATCGAACAAATGCAACCTGAATTGCATCCCCCCCCCCCCTCACACACACACATAGGCACTACACCAAATTGCACAGCACTGCCCCCCCCCCCCCCGTACTACACTGCACTGAATTGCACTGCACTGCTCCTCCTCCCCCCTCCCTCTCCCACTACACACTATGGGACTGCACTGCCTCCACAATACACCTCACTGCATTCACACCACTGCACCTCACTGCACAATGCTACCCCGCACTGTGTAACCACCTTTCTAACACACTGTGTAACACACTGTGTAACACACTGTTACACGTCCATCACTGCTCCACACTGCTCCACCCTGCTCCACACTGCTCCGCCCTGTTCCCCTGTAGCAGGGGGAATGATGGTAGAACATGACGTATAAGGCAGCAGGTGATTCACCAGACATGGATGAAACTACCATGGTTATCCTTCTAAGATTTCATCGATATGCATTGCTAGTCACGCGGACGTGTCACACTGTTTTGTTCGCTTCTTTGCGTTTGTATAACTGCAGGATCCAGCAGCCCAGAGCTGCCGTCAGCGACACATAACCAAACACTTGAAACAGACACGACACAGCCAGAGGCAAAGAAGACCAGACAACGTCCATCATTGTACTTCCCCATGATGGCTTCATTTGTACTATTGTGTAGCGTGATAGTGTTTCTTCAGACTGGAGCAGACCCTGTTGTTCTTGCTGTAGCTACTGGAGCTATTCTGGCTGGTGTATTTCTGACTTCATCGTCCAGCAAACACACACATGAACATCAACACAAACTGAAACACTCTCCTGTAAAGTCTTCTGCAAAGTCTACTGTCAAGTAGTAGTAGCAGACAGCAGACAGTAGACAGTAGACAGTAGACAGTAGACAGTAGACAGCAGGTGATCAGCTGATTTACCTGCTGCTTCTCACCGGCCAAGTGAAAGCTGGAGCTAGAAGGCCGGAATGGCTGCTGGAATGGTTGCCGGTATGCCGTTCAGAGCTGGCTCAAAAGTTGCTGGGAACGGCGGATGATGCTGGGAATGCTGGGAACGGTGGATGATGCTGAAAATGCTGGGATCAGTGGATGATACTGAAATGACATACATGGTTGGTAATCGAATTGCTTCCATGGCTTCTTCTGCTAACTTTTAACATGCCGCTCTTGCTGCTGCTGCTTCTGCTATTGCTGCTTCTGCTATTGCTGCTTCTGCTATTGCTGCTGCTGCCGCGGCTGCTGCTGCCAGGGTGGCACTGGCTGATGCTGTCAGCACTGTCACTGCCGCTGCTGTACATAGGCACATGCAGGCATGTGAGGTTTGATGTTCGGATATCAGTAGAGAGTGGTGTACACATGCAGGCATGTGATAATGTGTGTGTTGCTGCTGCCTGGCTTTGTGTGCAAGTCAGTCAGTGTATCCACTGTTTGCTTGGACATAGACCATTGTCATGCCAGGCACGTCTAGCTCAGCTTCTCATGCTCTGTTTGCACCTGTCAATCAAACACGAGTACCTGATACATACTCATGGTTCTTCAGCCACCGACATTTCCTCGACTTTATCACGAGTTAGAACTGCCTGTGAATTGAATTCTGTGAAATGGATGATTTGTTCTGACGAGCACTATGTGCATGCCATTGCAGTCAACAAGTGCACTTTGGACATGGAATTGTTGTGACTAGTGATGAAAACTCTGCAATGCGGTTACTGCATCATTCATCATACCAAGATAGGCTGCGGCGGCAGTGCTCATAGAGTATATTTTGACCATCACTACTAGTACTAGCACTAACACTAGCATTGCAGCACTGATGGTCATCGAGTCAAGCCCTTATCACTGTACACACAATTTGTAGTGCATCCTGTGTCAGTGTTTCAATGTGTGTGTGTGTGTGCGTGTGTGTGTGTGTGTGCTTGTGTGTGCGTGTGTATGTGTGTGTGCGTGTGTACGTGTGTGTGTGTGTGTGTGTGTGCTTGTGTGTGCGTGTGTATGTGTGTGTGCGTGTGTACGTGTGTGTGTGTGTGTGTGTGTGTGTGTATGTGTGTGTGTGTGTGTGTGTGTGTGTGTGTGTGTGTGCGTGTGTGTGTGTGTGTGTGTGTGTGTGTGTGTGTATGTGTGTGTGTATGTGTGTGTGTGTGTGTGTGTGTGTGCATGTATTGAGTACACTCAGTCCTTACTGTGTTCACTGTGTTTTCTGTGTGTATTCTGAGTCAGGGGGATTCCTGGGTCAGTTGTACTGTGGCTCACTGCCACTCTCACAGTGTTTATACTGGACTGTCCTAGTAGTTTATTTCTGCTGCCGATACTGCTGCCACCACACCGCTGCTATGGTAGCTGTCATCGTCGTAATCATCATAATCGTTGTCGTTGTCATTGTTGTTTTGCAGTGTAACGTTATCGTTAACACATGTATATCTAGCATCTCCGCGTGTCACTAGTGCACAGTGCGCTGACACCTTTCCCCTTTTAAAATTCTCCTTTGTGAGATGAAAGCCCACAGTCATCGGAACCAAATGTACACCAAACGTACCGTCATTGTGTTCATGTGGTGGTGGTGGCAGTGGTGGTGGTGTTGGTGGTGGCGGTGGTGTGATGTGAGGCCGACCCGGTCTAGGTATCTCAACACTGCTGTGTTGGAACGCTTCCGCTATCTGACTTGCGGCAATAGAGCTCAGCTCGTGACCCTCTTGACGTATGTGGAGGCTGTGAGGAATTGCAGGAGGCAGCCAGGAAGTCGTACAAGCAATTTGTTTGGCAGGGAATGACGGCGTCGCGGGAGGTGATAGAAGGACTGATGTAATTTGTGGACGCAAACTGAGGAACACGGATAGGATGTTGACAGAGGGTTACCATTTTGTCAAATTCAAAAGTACATGTACTTCACATGGTTGTTTCCTGGATGAAACTGATGACCGACCTCCACACGAGCAACACGACGAGCAAGTAAGTTCAGCGAATGCCAGCTACTTGTACGCTGAGAACTCATGTACGTCACGAGCGTTCCAAGTCCGCAAATCGCAAATCCCGATGGTGAAGTCACACTGTTTTTCGCTCAGGATCTGCCTAAAGGAAAAGCCAGTGACACAAGCTTCTGGTGAACTCACCCGTCTTGTTCATGCTCCGTTGGGGCCACAGTTCGTGCTGGTCCAGTCGTGCATCTTTCCTAAAGAAAACATAAGTTATCCTGACGAGTGTCGCCAAAAGTTTCGTCGAAACTTTCTAAGTCCGAGAATTTTCTAACTCCCTATGGTGTGAATACGGAAAGGCCGCCAAAAATTGCTTCTGAGCATCGCTGGAGGTAGTTTGCGAAGGTAACGGGTAGAGTGAAAAATTAGACGACCTCTGCTACGCTTTAGCTCTGGTAAGTCCAGTCGTAGAAGATCCAAAATGTGCAAAGTAATTTTCGAAGGGTCGATAGATGATGGGGTGTGCAGGTGCAGTGCTACCTATGAGAGGGTGGGTGGTTGAGTTGCCGGTCAGGAGCAGGGTGACCTCGACCAGTGCACAAGCTGATCCGAAGGTTTGCATACGAATTTCGCGTGCTCCCCTGAATGACTGAGTTGTTGGTGACGATTTCGTCTGGATGAAATCACATTCGACGGGTTGCACGCCTTGGCGGCTGAATGGCTGGTGATGATGGTAACCGATAGGGTCGGCAAAGGCGATATCCGTGCCTGTGTGTGAGAAACAGTATCGATTGTCGTGACCGATGGTTCGCACACGAATTTCGCGTGCTCTCCTGCATGACTGAGATTGTGGTGATGATTTCCTTGTGATGAAATCACATTGGACAGGTTCAACGCGTTGGCGGCTGAATGACTAGTGATGGACCAAATCGATGCGGTGAAGTAGGGTGGGCAAAGGCGATATCCGTGTGTGTGTAATGGAAGAAACAGTATCGATTGTCGGGTCTGATTGTTCCCACACGAATTTCGCGTACTTTCCTGAACTACTTAGTTTTGGACGTGTTCAGCGCCTTGACTGCTGGATGGCTATCGGGGCACTATTCGCTAGATTTCGGAAGGAGCGGTGATGAGTGAGATCTCGGCGATCTTGCGCTGCTGGGAATTAGGAAGTGGTGATGTCGAACTTGATCGTTTTAGGCGCAGCAATGGTTGTAACATGGATTTTGAGTGCGAGGCATGGCCAGGATGAAGGGAACCGTTGGTCAGAAGGCCCGCACATGCATTTCGTGTGATTCCCGTGATGTGTCTGTTTTGGTTTGGCTTTCCCTCGTTGTGATTTTGAATATACAGTTGTTGTCGTGCACTGCGTTAGCGGCAGAAGTGCTCATCGGTTGGGAATTTGAAATTGGCATTGACGTAGAGTCGAGGGGGCGAAACTATGTCGATTCGTCTTTCGCTACCAGGACACTGTTCGCCATAACTCGGATGGAGCGGTAATGAGTGAGATCTTGGGAAGTGCTGATCTCGAACTTGATCGTTTTAGGGGCAGCGAAGGTTGTAACATGGATTTCGTGTGCGGGGCATAGACAGGATGAAGGGAAATGTTGGTCAGAAGGCCCGCACATGAATTTCGTGTGACTACCGTGATGGTTCTGTTTTGTTTCGGATGGAGCGGTAATGAGTGAGATCTCGGCGATCTTGGGAAGTGCTGATCTCGAACTTGATCGGTTTAGGCGCAGCAATAGTCGGAACATGGATTTTTCGAGCGAGGCATGGCCAGGATGAAGGGAACCGTTGTTCAGAAGACCCGCACATGAATTTCGTGGGACTCCCGTGATGTGTCTGTTTATGTTGGCTTTCTCTCGTTGTGATGTTGAATATACCGATGTTGTCGTACACTGCGTTACCGGTAGAAGTGCTCATCGGTTGGGAATTTTGAATTTTGGCATTGACGTTTAAATTTGCCATTTGACGTAGAGTCGAGGGGGTGAAACTATGTCGATTCGTCATTCGCTATCGGCGCGTAGTTCACCAGATCTCGGAAGGAGCGGTGATGAATGAGATTTCGGCGATCTTGTAGTGCTGGGCAGTGGGAAGTGCTGATCTCGAACTTGATCGTTTTAGGGCAGCCAAGGTCGTAGCACGGATTTCGTGAGCGAGGCATAGAGAGGATGAGGAGAAAAGTTGGCCAGATGACCCGCACATGAATTCCGTGTTACTCCCGTGATGGTTCTGTTTTGGTTGGCTTTCTCTCGTTGTGATTTTGGAATACACCGCTGTTGTCGTGCACTGGGTTAGCGGCAGAAGTGCTCATCGGTTGGGCAGATTCAAAATTGGCATTGACGTAGAGTCGAGTAAGCGAAACTATTTCGATTCGTCTTTCGCCATCGGGACAATGTTCGCCAGAACTCGGTTGGAGCGGTAATGAGTGAGATTTTGGGGAAGTGCTGATCTCGAACTTGAGTCGAGAAGGGCGAAACTATGTCGATTCGTCAATCGCTACCGGGGCACTGTTCGCCAGATCTCGGAAGGAGCGGTCATGAGTGAGATTTCGGCGATCTTGCGCTGCTGGGCATCGGGAAGTGCACATCTCGAACTTGATTGTTTTAGGGGCAGCCAAGGTCGTAACACGGATTTCGTGTGCGAGGCATGGACAGGATGAAGAGAAAAGTTGGTCAGAAGGCCCGCACATGAATTTCGTGTGACTCCCGTGATGGTTCTGTTTTGGTTGGCTTTCTCTACTTGTCATTTTGAATATACCGCTGTTGTCGTGCACTGCGTCAGGGGCAGAAGTTGTTTCCTGGATGAAACTGATGACCGACCTCAACACGAGCAACACGACGGGCAAGTAAGTTCAGCGAATGCCAGCTACTTGCACGCTGAGAACTCATGCACGTCACGAGCGTTCCAAGTCCGCAAATCGCAAATCCTGATGGTGAAGTCACACTGTTTTTCGCTCAGGATCTGCCTAAAGGAAAAGCCAGTGGTGACACAAGCTTCTGGTGAACTCACCCGTCTTGTTCGTGCTCCGATGGGGCCACAGATCGTGCTGGTACAGTCGTGCATCTTTCCTAAAAAAACATAACTTATCCTGACGAGTGTCGCCAAAAGTTTCGTCGAAACTTTCTAAGTCCGAGAATTTTCTAACTCCCTATGGTGTGAATACGGAAAGGCCGCCAGAAATTGCTTCTGAGCATCGCTGGAGGTAGTTTGCGAAGGTAACGGGTAGAGTGAAAAATTAGACGACCTCTGCTACGCTTTAGCTCTGGTAAGTCCAGTCGTAGAAGATCCAAAATGTGCAAAGTAATTTTCGAAGGGTCGATAGATGATGGGGTGTGCAGGTGCAGTGCTACCTATGAGAGGGTGGGTGGTTGAGTTGCCGGTCAGGAGCAGGGTGACCTCGACCAGTGCACAAGCTGATCCGAAGGTTTGCATACGAATTTCGCTTGCTCCCCTGAATGACTGAGTTGTTGGTGACGATTTCGTCTGGATGAAATCACATTCGACGGGTTGCACGCCTTGGCGGCTGAATGGCTGGTGATGATGGTAACCGATAGGGTGGGCAAAGGCGATATCCGTGCCTGTGTGTGAGAAACAGTATCGATTGTCGGGTCCGATGGTTCGCACACGAATTTCGCGTGCTCTCCTGCATGACTGAGATTGTGGTGATGATTTCCTTGTGATGAAATCACATTGGACAGGTTCAACGCCTTGTCGGCTGAATGACTAGTGATGGACCTAATCGATGCTGCGGTGAAGTAGGGTGGGCAAAGGCGATGTCCGTGTGCGTGTGTGTGTGTGAGAAACAGTATCGATTGTCGGGTCTGATTGTTCCCACACGAATTTCGCGTACTTTCCTGAACTACTTAGTTTTGGACGTGTTCAGCGCCTTGACTGCTGGATGGCTATCGGGGCACTATTCGCCAGATTTCGGAAGGAGCGGTGATGAGTGA